GCTACTAGATCTCAGTGCTGCGTTTCACACTGTCGATCATAACATACTTCTAGAGAGACTGGAAAACTGGGTCGGGCTTTGTGGGATGGTACTCAAACGGTTCAGGCCATACTTAGAAGGGAGAGGTTATTATGTGAGTATAGGACAGCATAAGTCTAAGTGGACGTCTATGACACGAGGAGTCCCACAAGGCTCAGTTGCATTTGGAAACAAAGATGAAGTTCTCAAGGTGAATGCATACCTTGACTCTAGGGATCAAACAACTTAAAATCAAGTCATAAATCTTGGTGTGATTCTGGAGACAGATCTTAGTTTCAGCAGTCATGTCAAAGCAATAAATAAATCAGCATACTATCATCTCAAAAACATTGCAAGAATGAGATGTTTTGTTTCCAGTCAAGACTTGGAGAATGCCTTTATCACCAGCAGGGTGGACTATTGCAATGGTCTTCTCACCGGCCTTCACAAGAAGACCATTAGACAGCTGCAGCTCATCCAGAACGCTGCTGCCAGGATTCTGACTAGAACCAGAAAATCTGAGCATATCACACCAGTCCTCAGGTCCTTACACTGGCTTCCAGTAATATTTAGGATTGATTTTAAAGTACTCTTACTCATTTATAAATCACTCAATGGCCAAGGACCTAAATACATTGCAGATATGCTCACTGAATATAAACCCAACAGACCACTCAAATCATTAGGATCGAGTCAGTTAGAAATACCAAGGGTTCACACAAAACAAGGGGAGTCCGCTTTTAGCTATTATGCCGCCCGCAGTTGGAACCAGCTTCCAGAAGAGATCAGATGTGCTAAAACATTAGCCACATTTAAATCCAGACTCAAAACTCATCTGTTTAACTGTGCATCTGAATGAGCACTGTGCAATGTCCGAACTGATTGCACTGTATTTTATGTATAATCATTTTCTATTTTTAACTGTTTTAAATTCATCTTAAATCAATTTTTAAATCATTTTAAAAGTTTTTAAATTCCTTTTTTTATTGTTGTGATTATTTTTTATGAATATTTTACTTTTATGTAAAGAAATGCTGTGAAGGGTGTTGAAAGTAGGACCTCTGAGTTCTATTTGTTTGGTTTATGATGGTCAAAGTATGTAGGGGGTGAAGTTGTGGAATAGTTAGGTATTTTGGAAGGATTTTGCACTTGTGGGGAAGAGTTTGAACAAAGCTTGAGAATTTTTTTTTTGTTAAGAGCACATCACTAACAGTTTTTAAATTCCTTGATTTTATTGTTGTGATTATTATTTTTTAATGATTATTTTACTTCCTTTCATGTAAAGCACTTTGAATTACCATTGTGTATGAAATGTGCTATATAAATAAACTTGCCTTGCTCCCTAAAAAAGTAACTAATTGCATTACTTAGTTACTTTTTATGAAAAGAAATGCGGTACATTACTTTTGCATTACTTTTTCCCATCTGGGCTGGGCTTGCTTGTTTGTTTTTAATTAAAAAAAGTTATACTTTTGGCAAATGTAAAAGCCCTTTCACACAAAAAGTGAAAGCCTCAGGCTGAAGGAAATGTAAATTCACGTCTGTAGTGTAGGGGACGCAGCTCAAACAAACTTTTCAGCTGTGCTGTCATTCTGGATTGCATAAAGAGTAGAATGCAATTGAAGAAAATTCAACTCTCTTCAGCAATATTCATTTAGGTCAGAATCAAAGACATTGGTTATAAAATGCAATTAAAATACATAAAGGATATTTGTCTTATTTAACATTTAGTTACTGCAGGTTTGTGTCATATTCTGAGTTTTCATTTCAGTGTTTTTATTCATTTTAAGGATAAACTGAATCTGTTTTTCTGCAAGTGAGATGAGTAAACGCGTGTTCACATTTCATGTCTTTGCACACCGAGTCTGACATTCTTGTCCAAAACGCATGTTAAAACATAAATATGACGCTGTGTCAATCACATTTTCACACTGCCTCCGAAACTTTCGTCCTTCATAAAAAACATTTGTATCGGGTTAAATATTCTGCATTTTTCACATCCGTAGCAAGCATTTTGATATGTGTTTTAGCAGTTCTGAGCCACTGTGATGTTCTGTGCATGACGAATTTTGACGAATACGAAAAACACATACAAAAATTTCAGTGTGCAAGGACCTTTAGTTCAGAACTACAGTGTGTAAACAGTGCACACAATGCCTCTGCACTTACTCCCGATTTCTCTCAACATTGGAACAGGAGAGCTGTCAGTCAATAAATGGGAAAACAAAGTAACTGGCGTTACTTATTTGAAAAAGTAACGTGGTACTTTACTAGTTACTTCAAAAAAGTAATCTGATTATGTAACTCGCGTTACTTGCAATGCGTTACCCCCAACACTGCTTGTGACCATAGTTGCTTTTGGGAAACACACCCCTGGGTGGGATCAGCAGAGACACAGGCGATTCAAGAGACTCAGGAGACACAGGAGATACAGGGCTGGGTGGAGTCAGTGGAGATCGATCACTAGCAATCACTCACAACTCACCAGCACCCACACACAAACGCGGCAAAACTCCCTCAAGGATCATCCCCAGACAGATTTGCCTTCGTCATGGTGGTCAGTGCGACATAGAAAAAAAGTACACAGGCAGCTCATGTGTGTCATGCGTAAGGTACGAAAAGTCAAAAAAATCCATTGTGTGGTCCTCGAGGGAACAGTACCCTTCTTGAGCACATGGAGTTTGACAGCTGGCAGGTCCATGGGGGGAAACAAAACAAAAAATAAAGAAAAACCATCACAAAATAATTAAACTGTATTGTGTCTGGTGTTCTGTCATGCGTGGGTTTTATACTAATCGCACAAAGATGAGGAATGCACAGAATCGGGCTTTTAAAAATAATCAGCAGAATACAGGCTAGAATGACGGGGTAACATCCACATGTAAAATGAGACACCAGACCAAGAACCAAGAATATATATATAATAAATGAATAGAAAATAAAGAAAAATATAGCAATTTCCATCACACTACAATACAAATTTTTCACTAGAAATTACATCAAAAGTGGAAAAAAAGTTGGTAAAAAACCTACACAAACTGGTGTCCCCTTTTATGAATGAACTATAATGTGATTTTAACATACTCGCTCTGTATTTAAAAAAATGTATTTAGTTAGTACACTTCAACCCATCTTTCATTCTAGTGGGTTCAAGGTCCATGTACACACACACAGAGAGTTTGACAGTTTGCTTGCTAAAGTTTTGCGTTCCTCTGAGGAATTGTACAATCACTTGCAAGAGTTTTGCAAGGGAACACTAATTTTATAGTGGGGACCCAAAAGTGCAAGCTTCTTGGGGGAAAGCAAAACTTTGCAAGCACATGCAAAATAGATTTTCCTTTATTCTTCTCTTTTTTTTTTTTTTCTTTGTCCCCATCATGAAAACCTGTTGGTAAAACGAGTTACTAGTTTTGTCAATGAATGGTTGGTGAACAAATATAAAAATTAAATAAAAGTGAACACAAATAAGATATTTCTCTCTTTGACTTACAATGTGTCCAATGAAACGTGAAGGAGAGAAACAAAGAAGCAGCCAGTTAGTTTGATAGTTTATCTTACATGTGCACATGGTAAATGTGAGGCCAAGAACATTCTGTACATGTAAAAAAAAAAAAAAAACGTTTCATAAAAGACAGTAAATGAACTAAGAGTGACACACTTGTTAAATATTCTTTTTTTGAGGAACTCAATATTTGAATTAATTTCAATCGGAACACTTGAAACTCATAGTCTTGACTCTTGATGCAAATTTTCACTTGAAACTGGATCTGAACAAGAACTATACTTAATGACACTACACTTAGTGATACCTACAGATACAACTGATCTCCAATGTGGATCATCTCTAATGTGGTTTACGTGTCCTGACAGACTGAATCTCTTATCATTGTGTCAGCAATTAAAAGGCTTTTCTCCAGTGTGAATTCTCTGGAGACATTTAAATTTGTCAGCTGTAGCAAATGTCTTTTTACACTGCTTTCACACTGGTATGCGTCTTCTGGTGTACTTTTAAAGCGTGCAGCCATGTAAAACGTTTTCCACATGAAGAACACAGGTGTGGCTTCTCTCCAGTGTGGATATTCATGTGTATCTTATTCCTTTTAATGTGAAACTTCTCCCGCACTGATCACATGTGTGCGGCTTCTCTCCAGTGTGGATATTCATGTGTATCTTAAGGTTTCCTTTTAATGTGAAACTCCTCCCGCACTGATCACATGTGTGCGGCTTCTCTCCAGTGTGGATTTTCATGTGTAACTCAAGGTTTCCTTTTAATGTGAAACTCCTCCCGCACTGATCACATGTGTGCGGCTTCTCTCCAGTGTGGATTTTCATGTGTAACTCAAGGTTTCCTTTTAATGTGAAACTCCTCCCGCACTGATCACATGTGTGCGGCTTCTCTCCGGTGTGGATTTGTATGTGTTTCTTAAGAGTTCCTTTTTGTGTGTATCTCTTCCCACACTGATCACATGTGTGTGGCTTCTCTCCAGTATGGATTTTCATGTGTAACTCAAGGTTTCCTTTTAATGTGAAACTATTCCCGCACTGATCACATGTGTGTGGCTTCTCTCCAATGTGGATTTTTATGCGTTTCTTAAGAGTTCCTTTTTGTGTGAATCTCTTACCGCACTGAACACGTGTGTGGCTTCTCTCCAGTGTGGATTTTTGTGTGTTTCTCAAGGGTTCCTATTCGTGCTAATCTCTTTCCGCACTGATCACATGTGTGCGGCTTCTCTCCAGTGTGGATTTTCATGTGTTTCTTAAGGGTTCCTTTGTGTGTGAATCTCTTTCCGCACTGATCACACGTGTGCAGCTTCTCTCCAGTGTGGATTTTCATGTGTTCATTAAGGTTTCCTTAGGCTAAATACATAGAATAAAAGTAACTGCACTTTACAAACTAAAAGTAATTGAAATTCAGATTCCAGTTGAAAATCCCATACCTGTTATGTGCCGCACACTGTATGTAGTAAGCTCTGTGTTCCTCCTCAGCCGGATGGCCTGTAAATAGGGATGCACCGAATGTTCGGCAACCGAAATTATTCGGCCGAAAATAGCAAAAAAAAATCTCTTTCGGTGTTCGGCCGAATAAGAGAAAAGGCCGAATAATATGTAACGAACAATGACTAACACGATCAAATAGAGGCACGCACTAATGCAGCAAACATGTCAACAGTGTGAAAATATTTAAAATTATCAGAGAAAGAGCAGAAATCATTACAAGCACGAAGCACCAACAGCGAGAGACTGTTTAATGCTTGGATTTTTATGCGTTTCTTAAGAGTTCCTTTTTGTGTGAATCTCTTACCGCACTGATCACGTGTGTGGCTTCTCTCCAGTGTGGATTTTTGTGTGTTTCTCAAGGGTTCCTATTCGTGCTAATCTCTTTCCGCACTGATCACATGTGTGCGGCTTCTCTCCAGTGTGGATTTTCATGTGTTTCTTAAGGGTTCCTTTGTGTGTGAATCTCTTTCCGCACTGATCACACGTGTGCGGCTTCTCTCCAGTGTGGATTTTCATGTGTTCATTAAGGTTTCCTATTAGTGTGAAACTCTTCCCGCACTGATCACATGTGCGGCTTCTCTCCAGTGTGGATCTTCTCATGTGTTTTCAGAGATTCCACCCGACTGAATCTATTGTCACACTGTGAACACTTGTAAGGTTTTTCTCCAGTGTGAATTCTCTGGTGCAGCTTCATTTGACCATCTGTAAAAAAGGACTTCCCACAATCGGAGCACATATGACTCTGCAAAAAAAAATCTCTTTCGGTGTTCGGCCGAATAAGAGAAAAGGCCGAATAATATGTAACGAACAATGACTAACACGATCAAATAGAGGCACGCACTAATGCAGCAAACATGTCAACAGTGTGAAAATATTTAAAATTATCAGAGAAAGAGCAGAAATCATTACAAGCACGAAGCACCAACAGCGAGAGACTGTTTAGCTTCTCTCCAGTGTGGATTTTCATGTGTTCATTAAGGTTTCCTATTAGTGTGAAACTCTTCCCGCACTGATCACATGTGCGGCTTCTCTCCAGTGTGGATCTTCTCATGTGTTTTCAGAGATTCCACCCGACTGAATCTATTGTCACACTGTGAACACTTGTAAGGTTTTTCTCCAGTGTGAATTCTCTGGTGCAGCTTCATTTGACCATCTGTAAAAAAGGACTTCCCACAATCGGAGCACATATGACTCTTCACACTACTGTGTCGTTTCTGGTGTATTTTTAAAGTATACAGTCGTGAAAAACTCTTTCCACACAAAGAACACACATGAGGCTTCTCCTGTGTATGAATGGTCAGGTGCTCCTTCAGGGATTGTGCCCAACGAAAATTTTTACCACACTGATCACAGTTAAAGGATCTTTGATGACCTCCAAAATGAGAACGCAGATGTGAATTAAGACTGACTGCTAGTACAAAACTCTTCCCGCAATGACCACATGTGTGCAGCGGCTCTCCAGTGTGGATCCTCATGTGATCTTTAAGGGTTTCTTTTCGTGTGAAACTCTTCCCACACTGATCACATGTGTGTGGCTTCTCTCCAGTATGGATTTTTATGTGTTTCTTAAGGGTTCCTTTTTGTGTGAATCTCTTTCCGCACTGATCACATGTGTGCGGCTTCTCTCCAGTGTGGATTTTCATGTGTTTCTTAAGGTCTTCTTTCGATCAAATAGAGGCACGCACTAATGCAGCAAACATGTCAACAGTGTGAAAATATTTAAAATTATCAGAGAAAGAGCAGAAATCATTACAAGCACGAAGCACCAACAGCGAGAGACTGTTTAATGCTGCATCACGTCTCCGATGAGAAGACGAGGTGGCTGATGCTGGTAGTTAGGTTACTGATGATTGAAGTCGCGAAATTACCTCAAACGATTAGTAAATAAACTGCCGAATGTTATCTTTTCTAATGCACGCATGAATTGCATGTATTCTGACAGCGCTGCACGAGCTCGTGGCGCTAGGGTTCAAAGTCCAAAGTGCGAGGAAAATCTTTGCTGACCTTGTTACTCGTCAGTTGCTCACTAACATTTTTGTGAATTTTTTTAAAGGCATGTGACAATCTGATATGTGCGACAAACATCTTCCCAAATTCGTAATCAGAATCATTTATAAATCTGCATGCTGTTTATGTGTGTGGCTTCTCTCCAGTGTGGATTTTCATGTGTTTCGTAAAGGTCCCTTTTTGTCTGAATCTCTTGCCGCACTGATCACATGTGTGTGGCTTCTCTCCAGTATGGATTTTTATGTGTTTCTTAAGGGTTCCTTTTTGTGTGAATCTCTTTCCGCACTGATCACATGTGTGTGGCTTCTCTCCAGTGTGGATTTTCATGTGTTCATTAAGGTTTATTTTTTGTGTGAAACTTTTCTCACATTGATCACATGTAAATGGCTTCTCTCCTGTGTGGATTAACATGTGACCCTTAAGGGTTCCTTTTTGAGTGAAACTGCTTCCACACAGATAACATGTGTGTGGCTTCTCTCCAGTGTGGATTTTCATGTGTTTCGTAAAGGTCCCTTTTTGTCTGAATCTCTTGCCGCACTGATCACATGTGTGTGGCTTCTCTCCAGTATGGATTTTTATGTGTTTCTTAAGGGTTCCTTTTTGTGTGAATCTCTTTCCGCACTGATCACATGTGTGTGGCTTCTCTCCAGTGTGGATTTTCATGTGTTCATTAAGGTTTATTTTTTGTGTGAAACTTTTCTCACATTGATCACATGTAAATGGCTTCTCTCCTGTGTGGATTAACATGTGACCCTTAAGGGTTCCTTTTTGAGTGAAACTGCTTCCACACAGATAACATGTGTGTGGCTTCTCTCCAGTGTGGATTTTCATGTGTTTCGTAAAGGTCCCTTTTTGTCTGAATCTCTTGCCGCACTGATCACATGTGTGTGGCTTCTCTCCAGTGTGGATTTTCATGTGTTCATTAAGCTTTTTTTTTTGTCTGAAACTCTTCTCACATTGATCACATGTGAATGGCTTCTCTCCAGTATGAATTCTCAAGTGACCTTCAAGACTTTTTTTGTATGGGAATGATTTTCCACACTGGGGGCAAGTGAAGATTTTGTTGGCTCTTCTTCTCCGTACAAATTCTCTTTCCTTCTGTGAGCAACTTATGGCATGATGATTTTCCTCCCCTTGATTCAGTTCTTCACTTTCCTTATTCTCTTCCATCAGGTCTGATATGAAAGTAAAGAAGTTGCATTTTAAGCAAATCACAATAAATGAATGAATGAATGATAAAAATGTGAAGGGAAAGACATTTGCTATACAAAAGTATGATTAGTCACGTTTTCAATGACACTTCCGGTGTTTGATCAGGCCTAATCATGTCTTCCTCAGGGCCAATAACTAGGTTTTTTTGGCCCGCCAAATACCTTGGTCCAAAGTGGGACAACTCAGGCTTGTGGTGTGGTTATTAGTGTGGAGTCTGGAGAGGGTCAGTGCCATTAATAATTTCATAAATTCCATATATGTAAGTCCTCAATCATTAGTAGGGTTGGGACAACAAAAACGATGCATCGCGACTCGAGAAATGATTCTGCATCGATTCTGAGATTTTCCAAAGGCATTGTACAGATTCTGAGCTTAGTTTGTAACAGCAGATGGCACTGAGTTCTTTAGAAATAGCCATATTCTGCTTGCTTTCAATTCCTTACACACACACACCACTTGAACCTAAAATCATCATTCATAAAGTTTGAAAAGGTTGAAGCGAATTACAATGATGTTCATAGTGGGCTGTGCTTACGTTAATCTCGCATCATAAAAGCATAAAAGCTGATGTGTAAGTACATTTAACCACTTACATTACTCAGCCAAACGCACAAGCGCTCTTCTTCGTGAGCATTTGAGTGTGCTGTTAAAAACTAACCTAGAGCGCCATCTGCTGTTAAAACTTAAAAACTAAGCTCAGAATCGATTCCAGCGAGAATCACGATGCATTCCGAAAATCTCAGAATCGATCCATGAATAGTGATGCATCAATTTATTGTTCCAGCCCTAATCATTAGTTCCACAAATGTTAAATGCAAGTGTACTTTACAGAATAAAGGATATTTCCTCTTTACGCAAGTATTATTAATTTTGTTGACTTTTACTTCTTTTAATTCTAAAGAGAACATTGAAACATTTACTTAAGGGCCTTTCGCACCGCTTTAGTTCCAGAACTAAATGTACAGTACTAAAGTACTGGGACGATTTTGCGCGAACTATTTCCCAGTACCATTTAAAGGGTTGCGTTCGCACCGAGAGTGTGTACTAAGAGGTATTCAGCCTTCGGCCCAGTGTTTCATTTTGTTCGGCTTCGGCCAAGAATTTTCATTTCGGTGCATCCCTAGAATTAATTTTTGCTAATTAATTTTTGATCAGCTCAGTTCACAAATTTGAATCTGTGTTTGTTGATATAAATACGTTTTGGCTTCAGTTAACATTATGAATGGTGATTATGTGCAATATGCCATAAATTTAAGTGTGAGTGACAGAAATCTCCCGCCTTTCTAAAGGGCTGTTTATACGACACCGCTTTCAACTGAAAACAGAAAACGTAATTTTTTTTATGGACATTCATTTACACAATAATACATGATAACAGCGTTTTGGGGGCCTGGAAACACAAGCGTTTGAAAATGATGCTTTTACCGTCTCAATGTAAACAACAAAATTGTGAATTTGTGAAAGCGGTGATGTCATGCGCATGTGTATAACATTTCTGCAGAGTATTTCATAACAAAGTGGCATTGCCAACTTTTTCTCACAGATCTGTGTGAACGGAGATCATTTTGACAATGTTTGTTGTCTGTTTTTAGTACATCGCTGTCTTGTAAACATACACTAAGATCCTAAGACAATGAGGTATTTGCCCAATACTAGCAGTCGTGACAAAAAAGACAAAAAGCTTGTTTTGTTTTTTTATATAAACATGAGTTAGACGAATGTCATTAACTATTGTTCCTCGTTTTAAAAAAAATGCATTCTCAAGTTATACGTTTTGTTAAACTCCATGCTCTTTTCCATTCCAGTGCGCTGCGTCTCACATTTTTAAAAGCATAGCCTAAACGTGTTCTGTCTGAAAATCTGTCTAACCACTGTGGTTAATAATTGTGCACAATTTACAATGTCATTTTATATAAGTACAGTATGGAGGGAAATATAAATAATAAATAAAACACAATAAATGCAGGAAATGTATGATTATTGATGTTTCATTGCGGGGATAAGCAATTTATCTTTCTAATCCTTTCTAAATTTAAAAGCACAGTAGAGTCCACAACACAACTCTAATAATAACAATATATAGAGAAAAAGTATTTTTGAAAGAGAATCACTTTCAGAACAATTTTTTTTTCTAGCTGATGAATGATTAAACATTGACCCCCAATCAGAATTCACCAGACTTTAAAGAGCTTGATTATACTGTAGTTATTGTTCTTGGTGTGGACGGGCCTTAACACGTATTAACACACTAAACATTTCAGTACAAACTAAAATTGAAAAATCAGTAAAACAATATTTTTACATTTTCTGAAGGAAATGTGAGTGGTTCCCAGGATGTTGTTATTCAGTTGCTAGGGTAAGTCAAAAAAGCCCACCACCAAACCTCTACGATTTCTGATCATTTGTTATTTTGTTATATCGTGCACCATATTTGTAGTATGACATTCTCTCATTGAATTAAAGCTGTTAATCTGGAAAATGTTGTCATATTTACACAGCCTCATGTTGCTCAAAGCATGTACGCTGTAACAGCAGCTAACTGCCCATGGCTTGGATAAGCAACGCACGCTTTACGCACACATAATCCAATGTCCAGTCTTGAAGTCGATTTCAATATTTTAGATTACTTAATTGAACACGATGGAAATACTTATTTACATACTTGCAATGATGAATGGTGGACATCAAGCTTAGCTTCCCGAAATGTGTGTGTGTGTGTGTGTGTGTGTGTGTGTGTGTGTGTGATTAGCTGTGTTTGAAATGGCAAACTTGCTTACTGCCTAGTACACAGTGCATACTGCCTACTATTTTTTTAAAGAATAGTGTGTGAAACAGTATACATTAAGCAACAAATGTTTCAGAGTAGTATGCTTAATTGTCACATGACAAACACAAACATTAATTCAGCACAGCTGTCAAGGTTGTTACTTTACAAACAAATGTGCTAACCATTTTTACAAAGGCTTGTTAGTAAGGCTTCATACTAGTAAACAATGCTATATTACCCAATTGAACTCATTTCATAATTGAATGAACTTTACATATTGGACAGAACTTGAATCAACACTGCTGTCTTTAACTGAACAATGATATTTTTAGCAGTTACACTAATTGGAAAAAGTGATATTCTAGTTACTCTAAGTGCAAATAATGATAAATTCTGTTTACACTAAAATAGCAGCATTTTCTTTAGCAACAGATGTGTAAACAGTAGTTAGCAGATATTTATACTTTAGTACTGTAGTACATTTTCTCTCTGGACGCACACAAACTTAAACACTCAAAGGAACATAAAGATAATCGTATGATTGCCGTTTGTAACGGAATCGCATGGCTCATTCCCGCTGAGGACCAATGATGGCTGATGCAGTACTAGATTGCGATTGCGCGGCGCTGTGAAGCACTCCACAGAATGAAACGGCATTCCGCCAAAATAAAAGTCCCCGCGATAGAGAAAAGAGCGCTTCTGTGCGTCTGCATTAATGAGCCTTTTGCACAATATTATTAATGAGGCGTTTTATTTCCCCTTTTCAAATATTTACTTAATTTTTTATTGAAAATAAATGCCCTTCTGATCTGGTATGTGATGGGAAAAGGAGTAGCACAAGTTTGACAAAAGGCAGATTCGATCACGGGTCAATCGCCCAACAGCATACATCTCGTCTCTTTTACTCACTGCGCCACTGATACTACAGAAATACAGGTGTATTTTGCAGTGCTGGTTATCGCAGCCAGGCATTGGTGGGCAAAGTTAATATAAATAGCTAGAGGTCAACCGATGTATCGGTTTTGCCGATTAATCTGCACCGATAGTTGACTGCTGGAACTAGGGGTGTGCGATATTGACAAAAAATAATATCTCGATATTTTCTGGGATTTTATCAATGACGATATTTAGACGATATTTTGCTGAGTGTGTTATTGTGTTGGTACCTTAAAGACTGCCGAAGACAGCTGACTCCTAATGTTTTTAATATTCTTCATATTCTGTGTGGTGGTCAGTTCATACTGATAGAAATGAATCTTTTCCAATAAGTTTAAACAGATTTTTACATTTTATGGGCATTTTTACCTTTATAAAGCCATTTTTTCTAGAAGTGTCCATTATCTTTTGAGTCAAATTCTTACATTTAATCAGGGAATTAGAATAATAAGACATTTGGGCTGTTACCAAGCAAATTAAATCAACACAGAAGCTGCATCTGAAGTGGCATTTAGATGTATTTACACACATGTATTTTGTTTAATGCAAGATATGAACGCATTTAACCTGCAATTACAAATGCATAAATAATGTTTTGATATATTAAACATAAAACGTTGAATACTGATATTTGAAATTTAAAACATGAAAAAAATCTATAAAAAAAAAGAAAAAGCAGAAATTTGAAATTAAAACCGCCAGCAGGTGGCAGCAAATCACTGTTAATAAGTGAGTCTTTGCGATTGAACAGAATAATTTAACGGTTGATTAATTCAGGAACCAAACACCATCATGTTGCTCAGAGACGCAAAACAGTGCTGTGGCTGTTTTGCTTCATTTATAGAGCTATAATATAGATCGCGCTTTCTCTTTCCGTTTGCTCCGTTTTTTAAACACCGAACTTCAAACTCATCTATGCCTCATTGTTCATTCTTGAAGTAAACTTGTGTCCCTTTGGTGATTAAATAAACTGTTTTAGACCGCTGCTTGAGTTGAACGCGACACGTCAGGAGTGTGTGTGATACTGGTGAGTTCTCCTAGACTCAGCGCTGCGCTTTTATTTTCATTAGATAATCATCAAGTGTTCAAGAATAGAAGCAGTTCAAGTGTGAGAGTATACATACAATATCCATATGTATATAATTTTAATGCTATGGCCTTTGTGTATATATTTAAAGATGTGCATCTTTAAGCATGACTGTTGAAATGAAATGGTAACACTTTAAAATAAGAGTCCATTTGTAACATTAAGATTAATGAAAGCTGTGTAATGAAAGTATTGTTCCTTGTTAGAGTGTGTTAATTTCAACATTTTTATTATTATTATTACTACTACTACTACTACTAGTATGGTTCAGTACTGTTTTTTTAATAAAGCATTATTTTAGTTTTTGTTCAGTATCCATTTTAAAAACTATCGGTTAATTAATCAGTATCGGCCAGTGTGGTTCAACCTAGCTATCGGTATCGGCAAAATCCACTATCGGTCGACCTCTATAAATAGCATCTGCCAACAAATTGGTCTATTTGTCCTTAGAGTAAATACATTCCCTTTCTTTTTAGAGCTGCTTGACAGCGGAACTGAATTCTGTTTGCATAATTGAAATATTATTTGTATTTATATATTATATTGCTGCAATATTATTATTATTTAGTGTGTAGTGTGTATGTTTGTGAATAAAAAAGATCTACAACGTTACAAATCTCAAAGTCCACTCCAAAGGGAGATATTTCGTTTTTTTTAAATCCCTTTTCAAGAACTACAATGAACGGCTTGTTTGGACTACAGACTTTTTTGTGTGGGTGTTGTGATATCACAAAGCGGCCCATTCATTAAAATAAATCCCGCCTACGGATATTCGAATGGTTGGGGGGTGGGGAGGGGCGAGGTTGTGGTTAGAACGCTTGGTTGAGTGAGTGCATCAGACGAGACGATGAAGAAGAAG